GGTTCGTGTACAAAAAAAAAAATCCTCATTTTTTCGTCACCGCAAATACATCACGCACCGCGATAAAAATTATTTGAAAATTACTTCCGTAAAACAAGGTTAATTAGAACTAAGAAAGTTACTTCAATTAATTCAATATTAAGTATGAACAATTTAGGAATTCATTGAATCAATGGACCCTCATAAACACAACAAACTGAACGTTTAATAGGAATATTCTAGACCTATTTTAAAGACTCAAGGAACAAATTTAGAATATTAATTTGGCCTAATTAGCATGTTGTTGATTATCATTAGTTATTTGATTTTTTTATCCTGTCCACAGAAAATACAAAATACGCCACTTTACTGGTGGGAACACAAACAACAAATGGCAACATAAATATTGTAAACAAACAATATACATTTAAATATTGTTAAAATCTAGTTTGTATATTTCCTGCTGTATAGTAACTATTTTTTCAGGGTTACTGTAGCTGGACAGTGGAAGCTTGTTGAGATTTTGACAGTCATGTCTACACAGTGCAGGGGCGGATCCAGAAATGTCCAAAAAGGGGGGGCCGGAAGCGGGGGCCGAAAGTTGGGCCGATTGCGACAACACTGTCGGAGGGGGTCTGGGGCATGCCCCCGCGAAATTTTTGTGTTCTAGACGCCCGAAAATAACATTTGAGGCATTCATCATTTTTTTCTTTTTCTCTCTTTTTTTTTCTTTTTTTACCTCCCAAAAGGGGGGACCGGGGCCAGGCCCCCCCCCCCTAAATCCGCCCCTGAAGTAGATAAGTTAGGGTTGGCACCTATATCATTTTTCAAAATTGTATTTTCATTAACTGATGAAGGAAATAACAATTTCATTGTAAGCCAAGGTTGTAAAAATTATTTAAATAGTAATTTAATTTATTATGACTGATTCATTTATGATTTTAATTATGCTCTAAGTAAAAATATTGTGTGGTAATATCACAATAGTTTAATATGAAGTTTTTTATTGTTAAAAATATTGGTTTGATATAAAATATTATTTTGAAAAATGTAAACTGTACCATCTGCAGTAACTAGTGTAGTATCATTCAAAATTATAAAATAATTGATCTAACTATTGTAAATGTATTAAAAACATTAGTTTTACAATCCAATTGTAAGCTCATGTTTTTGCGATGTTGAGTGCAGTGTCTGAAGAATAATTAAGGTATCTAATTGTGTTAAAATTGGGGTGGTGCTATTTATGACTTGAGTGATAATATGTCAAGGTTCATAGTCACTCATGCATGAAATTTTGTTAATGTTCAATTGTAAATTTTTTCAACATACATTCGAATGTGTTCTATCTGATAAATGTGCGCTACTGTATGATCATGAAGCCAGGATACCTAGTGAAGTTCATGATCTACTTGCAACATCGAAATATTATTATAAAGCAAACCAGCTTAGTGCATTGTGGAAACTGCACATGCTCAGAGTATTTGCTAGTCGTGTGACTAACAATCATTGGAGAAACAGAACAGCGTGACATGCAGTACTGTAGAGTAGTAGTAACTTTATGCGCAGAGGTTAATGTAGTTATTATGCTTCTTTACAGTTTAATCTTTAAAATTAAAGAGAAATATTTAGTTGATTAAAAAACTGTATTGTCTTCATGTGGTTTTTGTATGATTATAAAAAGTACAATTTGAAGAATAAGCTTTTATATTTTTTTTAAAGGCTTTATTGATACAGTGTTCTGTTTAACCGAAAGGTCCACTGATTAATCTCAGATAAGATAGTATAATACATACTCTAAGCAGGGAGATCTAAGTATCGAAATGCACGCCAACAGGATGGCGTGCATTTCGATACTTGGAGTACGTGTTCTGTATACTCGCGTATAAGACAAGGCTTAAATAAAAAATTACTGTACAATAGAAAACTACGGGGTCGTTTTATACACGCTACAATACAAATATTTGATTTTTATTTTAAAATAATGTTCATCTTACTACTGTATGTGTGGATCGTCTGTAACACATGAATTTACTAAGAAGCTACTAAATGATATAGTACATGAATGAACGCAATTAATGTTGGGAAATAAGATTTTGATGAACATTTGAAAGCCCAAATGTATTATTTAAAAAAATTAGGCATACATCAGACTCAGTTTGTAGCCAGGTATACAGTATAAAGACCTTTTATAGCAGCAAAATGTAGGAATACCGATGATGAAACAGGGAGGTCATACAGTCCACCGGAAATACAAATCTCGTCCAAAATCTGTTGAATTTACTGTAGTATTTTTAAAGGAGAGTTTTTCAAAGTGTATTGATTATGTACATAAATTGATCCTGTTTCTACTGGCTGTCATCTAGTTCAGTTTAGAGATCTGTGTAATCTGCCCAACAAAAGAATTACTGACCCATATAACTTCAAAATAAGTGAAAAAAAATTGATTCATTTTCATACCCATGATTTGTGTATTCAATAAAAATATTACAATAAAAAGAATATTTAGATAAACTATAATTTGTTTATGGCATCCTGATAATACTTGTTGTTATTTTGAATGATTATCATCACACTAAGTGCTTGATTGCAATACTGGACAGAAATTTTATATTCAGGACTGAAAAAAAGATCTTGACTGGCAGTTTTTGTTTCAAAAGAACATTGAATTTTGGGCAACATTTTGTTTGAAGGCGTAACATATCAACATAAATTTAATCAATTTTATAGATAGATAGATTGTGGATTTCATCCCTTTTTGGGGACAAAACTGGGGGAGGGGGAAAATTAACTCTTCCAACTATAGAGTTCAATCAGAGAACAGTTAATTTAATTTAACTGTTCCTGGTTCAATCAACTAGAGTTCAATCGTCTTTAAATTGTATATTTGAAACCCGTTTGTAATCAGATTAATCAAAAAATGACTTAATATACTGATTCACACAGGACATAAAATCCTCCATCAATAATGAAATTTGAGGTCAGGTTTGATTAATGACCCTTAATTTTTTATTGTTAACATTGTTTTTTGCAGGTAGTTTTCCAATAATTACTGTAAAACTTTAAAGAAAGGCTAAGATGGTGTTTGTTTATTTTTATTTGGCACCAAACCATACATTGTCTCTACTTTTATTTAAAAATTTTTTTAACCTTTGATCCACATTTATGTGTCATTGGTTCCTTGTAAAAATTTTAGATTAGGCCATGTGAAAAAAATGAGTTGTTGATCGTCCTTTTCTTTTAAAAATGTCAGGAGGGAGGGAGGGAGGTGTTTTTTTTTTTAATCAGTAATGAAACCACTCCATTGATACATGCCAAGTCTGAATCTTCCATGGAGTGCAAGGCCTAATGTAAATGGTGGACTGACTTTGCCGGATCTTCCAATGTAGCGTTCAATCAGGCGGAATTTACACGAACAAACAATTGCAAGACAAAATATTTACCCAAAGAAAGCCAAAGCTAGCCGAAGTTTAATTATGGACAGAAAGACAATATTTTTATGAGTTTTTGCAAAAAAAAAAAAAAAAAAATTGGTCGGGTGATTTTCTGTAAATTTTGTGAATTTGTACTATATAACAATAAATAAGGACATTGTAACATCTGTCTGTATCATGAAGTGTATTTAAATGGCCTTAATTAACCTAAACTACTGTATATTAACCAACTTGTGTTTAAAACAACTTTTTTTTTTACATGGCCTTATATTATTGTTAACTGTATCTTGTACTAATGTTGTTGGCCAAGGTCAAAGGCGATGCCCTTGAATAGGACGCTAATATGTTTTTGTGCTTGATACTAGTCCAAAGTTCAGATACAAAATAAATAATTCATTTGATTTTTATTGGAATTGGAAATGTTGAACATACTTCAATAAGAAGCTGCTGTAGAGCCATTAAAATGCAGGAGCCTATCTGTGTACTCAGCATCATGATTCCCTCAGGACAGGTAGTGATGTCATTTGTATGGTGGGGACGGTCATTGTTATTGATTCTGTAATATTAACCTTTGTTACCAAATGAATGTTGATTCGCAGCTAAGAAAACATTCCTTTGTCAAGTTTTAACAATCAGGTTGGCACACTGCAGCAAAATTAATATTTTTTTAATAACGCATGTTATTTAACAACCATTTTTAACTGCCATTCCTATTGATTATTATGTCCACTTAGTGCTTACTAATCATTTTATTTTATGTAAATTTCTTTTAATTAGACGAATATAATATACTGTATAACAAAATCAGATGAAATTCTTAAATTTTATTTGTTTTTTTTTTTGCTTAGTTTTTTTTTGTTTTTTTTTTTTGTAAATTAGATTTTTAAA